TTACAAACTACCATCTTTATGATTGAAATAAAACAAGATTTATTTTACAAACTACCATCTTTATGATTGAAATAAAACAAGACTCATTTTACAAACTACCATCTTTATGATTGAAATAAAACAAGACTCATTTTACAAACTACCATCTTTATGATTAAAATAAAACAAGACTTATTTTACAAACTACCATCTTTATGATTAAAATAAAACAAGACTTATTTTACAAACTACCATCTTTATGATTAAAACAAAACAAGATTTATTTTACAAACTACCATCTTTATGATTAAAATAAAAAAAGATTTATTCTACAAACTACCATCTTTCATTTGGAATTTCCGCCAGTTCTTCTTCTGCCGTAATTTTTAAATTGTGCAAATTTGTCTGTGGAAAACGTTGGAGGACATCTTTCTCCAGAAACACAGGTAAAGCTGCTCTCTTGTTCCGTTCCTGTTCCTCCCTCTCTCTTTCTTCCTGTTCAAATTGATATTGAAGTGCTTCATGCCGATCTTCCAAATATCGAAGATGGACTTCGTGAAATGATCGGGCTTGTCGTCTTTTTCCATGTTTTTCTTGCATCTGATGTCGTTTTGTCACATCTTGTTCTATACAGCTAACATCAGACGTAGGATAAGGTGGTAAAGGACTCACTTCAGGCTGGTTGAAAATGGTCGTCGAAGATCGCTGCAGGCTTGAAGTGTGCCCAGTCCGTTCGTCCTCTGAGAAGAACAAGTCGTTTTCTGAAGCTGGTGGTTCCAAGAACTGACCATTTCTTACCACTCCTTTTGATTTCTTCTCTGTAATCACTAGGTCTGATGAAAAGTGTGGGAAATATTTCTTGTTTAGAGCTTCCAAGGCTTCCGAGTAAAGATTACTTCCGAAATTGTAATTGTCGCAATATATGTGGGTACGAGGTCTCACCCAAATTCTGCCTGGTGCCATGCTCAGCTTGTCAGAAGCCTTGAAAGAACGAAATAGTGGAGTAGCCGGCGGTTTTGATGGGAGTATCGACTGCGTGGTGCTATTTTTTCCTACTTAAAGCCTGATCACACGGGGACGGAGAGGGCCCTCTCTTAAGTTTGGCACTCGAAACATTTGATGTCTGTGCTAATTTATTTTCGGTATACAAGCCCTATTCTTTCAAGATGCTATTTTCAACAATATCATCGAAAGCATGGATGTGAATGAACGCTGGGACTGCAGAGTGTTCACGCTTATCACAGTTCTAACGTTAAACAATAACAATTTCAAGGGATCAGCTCTTAGCAAATAGCCTTGACATTATTATAGAACAGCAGTAAGTTTGCTGACAAAAGATAAGGCATAAAATAAAGAGGAATGGCGATTTGGACAAGAGCCAAAATTGTCTGTTTAAGCTGCAAGAATAATATCTGAATTTTATGATCAGCATAAAGAGAAACACACTAAGACAATAGTGGACTGCACAGATCACAGAAGATGGAAAGTAAAAATACAAAAAACAATCAAGGAGCATATTACAAACTGTGTATAAAATAAGCAACACAGGAACCTGTTATGAAGCAAATAACGTAGATAACACAAGGGGAAAATAAATAACACGAAAAAGTATCAAACTCAAACACTGCAGATCACAGTATATGTAAAATAAACACCGCAAAAACTACCACGAATTAAACACGACAGAGCACAAATACGTGTACAATAAACAACACAGAAAACTATTAAGAATTAAACACTGCACATCACAATATATGTAAAATAAACAACACAGAAAATTATTATGAATCAAACAATGCCGATCACAGTATGTATAAAACAAACAACACGAAAAACTACCATAAACCAAACTCTGCAAATTACAGTATGTGAAAGATAACACAAAACACTATCAAGTATTAAACACGGCAGACCACAATACGTGTAAAAAATACAACACAGAAAATTACCAAGAATCAAATTGTACATATCACAGTGGGAGTACAATACACAATTCTTCAAATGACAGAGGTATGTATAAAATGGGCTGAGAAAACAGCATAATAATAAATCTCTGCAAATTACACTTGTGTAAAAAAGTGGTACACGGCAAGCCAGGAAATATTTGCTAAGGGATTCGTGCTTATCGCTGGAGATTAAGAGAGTGGATCTAAGTTCTAGGTCCTTTGTACCATACATAAATACGGGTTTTATACGCAGACGAGACGAGGTCATCAGGGCATGGATTCACTAAGATAAGGCTTCCAGTCATAACCATGTTCAACCATCGCATTCTTCAATTAGCTGGAGAATGAAACAGGCATTCTTGCTATTCCATATGAAGACATACCAGTAAAGGTGTCGAACGTAGCGCCTATGTTTTTCTGTGCGATTGCGCTTTGAAAACAGGTGCTTAGAAACTATCATCTTCATACATTGGATGAATTATGGCAAGCTAGCAGAAAGGATTGTTGTGCTTTGGACATGCCAGTCTTAAAACGGAGTATTTTGTAATGGAAATTACTATACAGGGCTATTGTCAAGATGCACGGTCTCCAGACAGGGCATGATCAGACGTGGGGACATAGACTGTGAAGTACTCAACCCTTTATATTAGTGAGAATTTAAACAAAAGATAATAGTGTTACTTTTCATAAGTTGGATTGAATAGATATAAGAATCATAAATGTCCACAGATGTAGAAAGGTATTATCCAGCAAGACCAAAAGATGAAAATAATGACTAGTGTGAATGTTGCAAAGAAATGATTAGGTAAACTACATCAAAAAATCAAAACAAATCAAGTTGCTTTTGAATGTACTTTCTATATCGTCATACATGATCATTTTGATTACACATTGTCCAATGTAGCAAACTCCTTTGTGTGACTAATTTCTACGAAAAATAGCGAAGTGGTTTCAGAACCCACTGTTTAAGGCTTTTACAAGACTTCACTGAACTTACCGTGTGTAAGTCGGCCAAAGGCAAATAATCCATGGTGATTGCAACGTGGTAACAGATATGTGGTTAAATAGGATTTCTGTAGTTCCAGTTAATAACCGTTAGGAACTAGATTTATCTCAAATGTTATTGATTATTAGCTTCCAAATGTATACCAGAATTCATTTCCTTCTTTTTTACAGGGGTTCTGGGTTCTCTTTCGTAATCATGACCTACACTTTGTGCTCTTGATGGATAAGTTGAGTTGTGGTTTGACTCTACACTGTTTAAGACGTGATATGTATAGTCATGATCAGAAGTTTAAGACGTGATATGTATAGTCATGATCAGAAGTTTAAGATGTGATATGTATAGTTAACTTACATATGATCAGAAGTTTAAGATGTGATATGTCAATTAACTTACATATGATCAGAAGTTTAAGATGTGATATGTGCAATTAACTTACATATGATCAGAAGTTTAAGATGTGATATGTAACCGTTAGTAAAACTAGAGATGAAAAGTATAATGTTACATAGTAAAACAAGAGATGAAAGCTATAATGTTACATAGTAAAACAAGAGATGAAAGCTATAATGTTACATAGTAAAACTAGAGATTAAAACTATAATGTTACATAATAAAATTAGAGATGAAAATTATAATGTTACATAGTAAAACTAGAAATAAAAATTATAATGTTACATAATAACACTAGAGAAGAAAACTATAATGTTGCATAGTAAAACTAGAGATGAAAACTAAAATGTTACGTAATAAAACTAGAGATGAAAACTATAATGTTACATAATAAAATTAGAGATGAAAATTATAATGTTACATAGTAAAACTAGAAATA